CTGTCTGGCTTCCTGTCTTTTAATCCCCTTTCTCCTGCTCTTCCGGCCTGCTACTCTGGCGTCCCTGCGTTGTCTCTCCTCACCTGTAAGCCTGGGGCTCAAGGCTTTTATCCCCTTCCCTGCTCTTCCGGCCTGCTACTCTGGCATCCCTGCATTGTCTCCCACATGTATATGTTGTTGTTGTTGTTGTTATGTGCCGTAGAGTCAAACATGTATATGAGGAGATTGAAAATACCATGCCTTGGGTCAGGTGCACCTCAGTCTTAAAAGTGACATATTTGCTGTTTAACATTTGAAAGAGGTTTTTTGCAACAGATTCGCCCTATACAGTATGTTGTTTGATTTCGTTTTTTACACTTTTTATTGTGGTTTGGGTGAAAGTTTACAGAGCAAATTAGTTTCTTGTTCAACAATTTGTAGACATTTTGTTTTTATGGCACTGTATTCCCTATTTCCATTCATTCTTCTTTTCTGCCCCTTCCTGCCTTCTCAACTTTGTTTTCTTGGGAAAATGCTGCCTTTTTGGTCCCATATGGTTGATTTTTCTTAAGAGTCCATGCCTCTCATGTGTTATGGTTTACTTTATAAGCATGTCTATATTTCTGGCTGAAAGTTGATCCCAAGTGGTGGATTCAGTTCCAGGCTTGAAGGGTATCTCAAAGCCTCGTTTTTTGACTACTGCTTCTACAAATGTTAGGTTTTGGATCCAAGTGAAATGAAATGCTTGACAACTTCAGTCTTTTCTCCATTTATCATATGTTGCTTATTGGTCCACTTGTTAGGATTTTTTTTGTTTTATGTTACAGTATAATCCATATTGAAGGCTGTAGTCTTTGTCATCAGTAAAAGCTTCAAGTCCTCTTCACCTTCAGCATACAAGCATATTGCAAATTGTTAATGAGTCTTCCTTCAATCCTGATGTCACATTTTTCTTCATATAGTCCAGCTTGTTAGATTATTTGCTAAGCATACAGATTAAATAAGTATGGTGAAAGGCTACAACTCTGATGCACACCTTTCCTTATTTTAAACTATGCAGTATCCACTTGTTCTGTTCAAATGACTGCCTCTTACTTAGTCTTTGTACAGGCTCCTCATGAGTACGATTAGGAGTCCTGGAATTCCCATTCTTCACAATGTTATCTGTAATTTGTTATGATCTACACAGTCATTGTCTTTGCATAGTCAGTAAAACACAGGGCAACATCTTTCTGGTATTCTTTGCTTTCACGCAAGTTCCATCTGACATCAACAATGTTGTCCCTTGTTTCATATCCTCTTCTGAATCTGGCTTAAATTTCTGGCAGTCTCTTTGTTGCTGCAACCGTTTTTGAATTAGCTTCAGCAAAACTTTACTTGCATATGATAATAATGATATTATTTGGCAATTTTCACATCCCGCTGGATCACTTTTCGTTGGAATGAGCATGAATAGGGATCTCTTCCAATAGCTTGGCCAGTTAGCTGTCTTCCATATTTAGTGCTTCCAGTGTTGCATCCATTTGTTCAAACATCTCAGTTAGCATTTCACCAATTCCTGGAGACTTGTTTTTCATTAGTACCTTCAGAGCAGCTTGGACTTCATCCTTCAGTACTATGGCCTCTTGATCATATGCTACCTCCTGAAATGGTTGTATGTCGACCAATTCTTTTGGTACAGTATATTCCTTCCAGCTTCTTTTTCTGCTTATCTCTGCTGCTTTTTATTTCATTTCATTATGTTTCCAGTTGTTTCTCTCCCTTCTTAGTTCATGCAATTTTTTTTTAAATTGTGATTTGGGTGAGAGATTACAGACTAATTTGATTATCCATTCAACCATTATACACATTTTGTTTTGTAACATTCATTGCAACCCCCAAAATGTAATAGCACTCCTCCTGCTTTCTCCCTGTGTTTACCATTTCCCTTTGTCTTCTTTCCTATCCCATTCTGCCTTCTTTGCTTTAGCCCTGGGCAAATCCTGCTCTTTTGGTTGGTTATTCTAATGAGTGCATACCTTCCTGGTATTATTGTTCATCTTACAGGCCTGTCTGTTGTTTGCTTGAAAGTTGAGCCATGGAGGTGAGTTCAGTTCCCACTTGGAAGGGGTCTTAGAGCCATAGTCTTGGGTCTTGGGATTGCACTAGTCTCTTATCAGACTAGTAAGCCTGTTTTTTTTTTAAACAATGATTTTGGGTTTTGTTCCACAGTTTTCTCCCTCTATCTGGTACCTACTATTGTGATCCCTTTCAGATCAGTCAGTAATGGCAGCTTGGCTCTATCTAGTTCATGAAGTTTTTTTCAGTTGATTATGTAGTTATTGAACTGGCAATCTCCAACTCACTGGTCTCCAGCTTATTTTTATTTGTTTTTTTGTAATATTCAATTATTATAATTCTTTACATCCATCTTGTTTTGATGCTTCCTACTCCATTCAATATTTTGCCCATAGAATCCTTCAGTATTGCAGTTTGAGGCTTGAATTTTTTGAGGCTTTGGTTCTTTCAGCTTGAGAAATACCAAGATTGTTCTTTCTGTTTGGCTTTCTACCTCCACATCTTTGCACATTTCACTACAATACTTTGTCTTCTTGAATCGTCCTTTCAAATCTTCTCTCAACCCTTTTACTTCATCATGTCTTCTATTTGCTTTAGCTACTCTTGTTCAAGAATAAGTTTCTGAGTCTCTTCTGATGTCTACCTTGGTCTTTTCTTTCTTTCCTATCTTTTTACAGGCCTTTTGCTTTCTTTTTGTATTAGCCATTAGAAGATACAAATCAAAACCACAGTGGGATACCACCTCATTAGAATGGCTGTGATCAAAAAATCAGAAAAAAACTGGTATTGATGAGGATGTACAGAAATTGAAATCCTCATCTATTGCTGGTGGGAATGTAAAATGGTACAGCCACTGTGGAAACCAGTTTGGCAGTTCTTCAAAAATTTGAACATAGAATTACTTTATGACCCAGCAATTCCAGTCATTGGTACATATCCAGAAGAACTGAAGGCAAAAATGCAAACAGAAGCCTGTATACTAGTGTTCATTGCAGTACTTTTCACAGTAGCCAAAAGGTAGAAACAACCAAAATGTCCACCAGTAGATAAATGGATAAGCAAAATGTGGGATATTATTCAGCTGTAAAGCAACGAGAAGTTCTGGCACATGATGAATCTTGGAAACATTATGCTGAACTGATCAGAAGGAAAGAAGGACAAAGGGAAATGGGAACCACAAGGAGGAAGTGGAAGGAGAACTGTTACATTGTGGGGATTGCAATCAGTGTCATGAAACAAAATGTGTATGAACTGTTCAAGATCAATTTGCTCCGTAAACTTTTACCCAAAACCCAATAAAAAGTAAAAAAAAAAAAAAAAAACTTATGCAGAGCTAAATATGTCAGTCATAAAGAACAAATATTATATGATCTCACTTATATAAAGTAAGCAAATACAGATAAACTGAAAATTAGTAATGGTTACCAGAAATCAGAGGGATTGGGGAGAGGCAAGTTTTTGTTTGGGGAAGGGTATGGAGTTCTTGTTAATGATGGTAGAATGTTGTAGGTGAGGATAGTGATAATAGTGACACAACTTGAAAAATGTTATCATTTTTATCAGTGTCATTGATTTACAAGTGTGGAAGTTGTGTTGGTGGATGTTTTGGTGTGTCTGTTTTCACCACAATAAAAAATAATAATAATGCTCCCATGAATATTCTTGTGTGTGTTAACTTGTACATATGTGTAGAAAGGTCTCTAAGGTATAAACTCACAAATGGAATTGCTAGATTGATGAATGTATCTTCAACTTTGCTATTAGGCTGAACTATATGAAATTGCCATTTTTAGTTGGGTATCAGTAATTTCATATGGTTCAGCCAAATAGATACCAACTTGTTTCTCCCTAAATTGTGATATCAGTTTATAGTTACAGCATTGTATATATGTTTTCAGTGCTTCACTGAAAACCTTTGCTCAGAGACTCATTCTTCCTTCTACCTAAGCCCACAGTTTTCTTAAAGGTATATCCCCAGGCATCCAGTTAGCAGCAATTTTTTTTCTCAGTTTTCTTTCATGAGCAGGGATATCTTCACCTCAGCCTCTGACTTGAAATAGTGTGGCTTTAGTCCTGCATTTTGAGTGGCAAAATTGTAGAATTCATTACTCTGTTGGGTCAAATTTCTTCTTCAAGGCTATGTAGCCTTGTAGGCCCATAGCTTTAATCTCATTCATAGTCTTGTTTTTGAGTCTGGTCATGCCTTTAATTGATATGTATTTTTCTGTCATTTTTCAGTGCTTGGAGCAGAAGGAATGAGTTAAACCTTACACTACAATATTTTGATAGGAAATTCCTAAACAGATTATCTAGGCTTACGATGATTATTTGATGGTATCAATTAATATGGGAGCTCTGGTAGCATAGTGGCTAAGGCACTTGACTGGTAACCAGAAGGCTGGTGGTTCAAACCCACCAGCCACTCCTCGGAAGGAAGGTGGGGCAATCTACTTCCGTAGTGATACTGCCTTGGAAACCCAAGGAGGGGTCGCTATGAGTCGGGTCCGACTCGATGGCACACAACAACAACAACAACAACATCAATTAATATAATAATTGAGTTCATTTTATGTTCTAGCAGATGGAGAAGGCAGTAATAAAACAGTGCTGAAATACAGATGCCACACAATGAAGAAGCTCAGCATGACAAGGACTCTTCTGACAGAAAAGAAGGAAGGAGAAGAAAACATAGGTTTGTTCATTTAATTCTCTGAAAGTAGGTGATTCAGTATTGGCTTGATGGTGACACATTGCTGCCAGCATATACCTTGCTCTTTGTAGCAATAGCTATATGTATTATATTTAATATATTAAAATTAAGAATGCTCTGTGAAAAATAATAAGCACAGATTTTAAATTCAGTTAATACAGCAGAGGGCACTGGGGACGTACAAGAAATCTCTACAGTGTTTGCTTTGCATTAGAAACAACTCTCAGGAATTTGAGGAGCTTTGGTAGCGTAGTGCCTAAGGCACTTAACTGCTAACCAGAAGGCTGGCGGTTCAAACCCACCAGCCACTCCTCGGAAGGAAGATGGGGCAATCTTCTTCCATAGTGATACTGCTTCGGAAACCCAAGGAGGGGTCGCTAGGAGTCGGGTCTGACTCAATGGCACATAACGACGACAACAACATCAGGAATTTGCCAAAAAACTTGCTATGATTTCCAATCCTTAGGGAATTCAGCAGTCCATTTAGAAAAATTTTCTGGTAAGTAGAGAAGAATATGGAAGCAGCAGTCCTGGATTCCCAAGGTTTAACCTCAGGGGATCCTCTAGGAACTTTTGGCAGGGGTAGCAACCTTCCTCAGAAATCTTATAATCGGAAGACCTGGGAGACTCTAGGATCACAGTTGCTAGTCGTGAGTCTAGTTCTTAATTAGCATCTATTTCGTTTTTTGCAGTAGCTGGTCACCACAGATTAGAGACAAATGGAGACCAATACTTCTTGCACCCATAGAAGTATGCACATGTTTGTGAACTGAATAAATAAGTACTTGATAGTTTAAAACCTCATTGCTCAATGACATATTCAAAACTCTTGTAAATATTACTTCAGTGATGAATGTTCATGACTTTATGGGTGTATTTTAAGCAAGGAATAAACATTTGAAGGTACATTAATCATACAGAATTTAATTATACCAACTACATACAACTAACAAACTTTTGCACTTATATATCCCCAAACTATCAACCTTTTTAGGCACTCTGTAAAAGTAATAGGAAGGAAGTACTTGAAATTACAGAATTAACTTGAAAGGCAAGTATGTATCAGATAAGCTTAGCTATCATTTAGACACTCTTATTAAAGGAAGTTTTGGAATTTCCTTTTCTGGTAGTCTTTAATAAACTCATAGATCTTTGGAAAGATAGTGTGTTTTCTTTAATCAAATAAATTACCAACATACATTCAAGGTTGTTTTAGTCTTTTATTGCTGCAAACCAATAACCCCTAAGCTTAAAACAACAAAACCATTATGTTACACAGTTTCTGTGAGTCTGAAATTTGGAAGAGGCTTAACTGGAAGCTTGTGGTTCAGGGTCTCTTGAGTTTGTAGTCAGTATGTTGACTGGGGCTTCAGTTATCTGAAGGCTATCTAAGGCTGGGAGATCTGATTGTAACATTACTCACTGATATGACTGGCAAGTTTGTGCCGGCTGTAGGCACGAAGCGTCATTTCCTTGCCACAAAGACCTTCCCACATGACTGCTTGGGCATCCTCACAACACGGTAACTGGCTTCTTCCAGAGCTAGTGATCCATGAGAGCAGTGTCTTATGAACTAGCCTTAGAAGTCATACTGTTAACCTATCTTGTATGGGAAGGCACTATACCAAAAAAATCCTCTTGCCAGCTGACTCAATTCCTACACATAGTGATTCTCTAGGACAAAGTAGGACTGTCTCATAAAGTTGCCAGTGTTGTAAATCTTTACTGAAACAAACTGCTGCATCTTTCTGCTGCACAATGGCTGGTAGGTTCAAACTGCTGACTTTTAGGTTAGCAGCTGAGCACGTTAACCACTGTAGCACCAGGACTCCTTGGGGACTACCAAACCAAAAAAACCAAACCCACTGCTGTAGAGTTGTAGCCAACTCATAGCAACCCCTCCTTGGGTTTCTGAGGCGGTATCACTGTGGAAGTAGATTGCCCAACCTTCCTTCCAAGGAGTGCTGGTAGGTTTGAACCACCAGCCTTCTGGTTGGCAGTCAAGTGCCTTAGGCACTATGCTACCAGAGCTCCCCGCAGTTTAAATCCACCAGATGCTCCACAGAAGGAAGATGGGGTGATCTACTTCCATAAAGATTTACAGTCTTAGAAACCCAGTGGCAGCCGTTATGAGTCAGAAACGACTCAATGGCAGTGAGTTTGGGGACTACAAAGGGGCATAAATACCAGGAGTGAGGATCACTGGAGATTATCTCGGAGGCTGGTTACCAAACATGGCAGGCACTATGCTGGAGAAAGAACAAAACAGAGATAGGAGATGTCCTTGCATTAGGAACAATCACATTGAAACATACATGGATGAATGCAATTCTACTCATTGCGTTCAACTTGCTTTTTAAAGTATGTGTTATGTGCCAAGTATTGTGTTGAATATCAGAGTAAAGGCTTCGAGATTTTGGGACTAGGAGAGTGATTTTATTGTAGGGAAAAATACGGAACTCAACATTTGAAGCTGAATAGGAAGGAAAAGGATTAATCAATTTTTGATAGAAGGGGACTATAGGAATAGCATATGAGAAAATAAAGGATCAGCAGTGAAGAAATTTCAATAGGAAACAGCCAAAGAGGTGTTAGTTTATGGTGGGGAATAGGAGCAGATAAAGCAGCAAAAAGGGTGCTAAAATAGGTTGGAGTATCAGAAACCCAAGGAGGGGTGGTTATGAATTGAAATAGACTTGACAGCAGTGACTTTCATTTGTTTTTGGATCTTAGAGATATCTAATGGAATGTTGAAGATGAGAGTAAACAGATTGAGCTTAGTAGAAATTAGATAGGAAGACGTCACATAGTAAAAATGATAGTACTACCCAAAGCAATCTACCAGTACAATGCAATGCTGATCCAGATAGCATAATCTTTCTTTAAAGAGATGGGAAAACTAACCACCAACTTTCCATGGAAAGGAAAGAGATCCTGGATAAGCAAAGCACTACTGAAAAAGAAGAAAGTGGGAAGATTCCACACTCCCTGATCTCAAAACCTACTCTGCAGCTACAGTAGTTGCAACAGCCTGGTATTGATACCATGACAGACACACAGACAAATGGAATAGAATTGAGAACCCAGACGTAAATCCATCCACATATGGACAGCTGATCTTTGACAAAGGTCCAAAACCTATTAAATGGGGAAGAGATGGTTTCTATTTTAACAAATGATGGTAGCAAAACTGGGTATCCATTTGCAAAAAAATGAAACAGAATTCATAACTCACACCGTATACAAAAACTAACTCAAGATGCATCAAAAGCCTCTAAATGATACCAAATGCAAAACTTCTGGAGACCATGAACCCGAATATGCATCTCACACCTAATCCATACTAGCTGTTTGCTGTTGAACAGAAAACAGACCATTCTGATTCTTACTGTCTTTCCTTCTGTAGTGGAGATTGTGTTACCCATCCTCATAAGTGTTCCACACACTTAATAAAAGTAAAAGTTTAGGAAATTAAAAAAATAAAGCTGCATCAAAAACCTAAATGTAAAACCTAAAACCATAAAGATCATCAAAGGAAAAATAGGGAAAACCTTGTTGTTGTTGTTTGCTGTCGAGTCAGCCCTGACTCATAGCGACCCCTCCTTGGGTTTCCGAGGCAGTATCACTACAGAAGTAGGATTGCCCAACCTTCCTTCCGAGGAGTGGCTGGTGGGTTTGAACCGCCAGCATTCTGGTGAGCAATCAAGTGCCTTAGGCACTATGCTACCAGAGCTCCTCCCTAATACATGGCATTAAGTACACTTTCAAAAATAACTAAAAATGCATAAACAGTAGAGGACAAATGAGATGTTTGGGACCTCCTAAAAATTAAGCATGTACGCACATCAAAAGACTTTGCCAAAAGAATTAAAAAAAAGAACCTAAAAACGGGGAAATTTTGGGAAACAATATATCAGACAAGGACTAATCTCTAAAATTTATAGAAAACTTCAGTATCTCAACAGCAGAAAGATAAATAATGGCAATTAAAAAATGGGTAGAGGACATGAACATCATCAAAGAAGACATTCAGGTGGCTAATAAACACATGAAGCAATTAGAGAAAGGTACATCAAAACAATGAGATATCATCTTCCCCCAGCATTAATATCAAAGTTCAAAAAAGCAGAAAACAACAGATGCTGGCTAGAGTGTAGAGAGACTGAAACCTTCATATAATGCTGCTAGGACTGTAAAATGGTACAACCACTGTGGAAAGCGATATGGTGCTTCCTTAAGAAGTTGGAAATAGAAATACCGTATGATCTAGCAATCCCACACGTAGGTATATATCCCAGAGAAATAAGAGCCATGACATGAACAGATGTTTGAACACCGTATTCATGATAGTGAAAAGATGGAAACAACCTAATTGTCCATCAGTGAATGAATGGATAAACTGTGGCACATACAGGCAATGGAATACTATGCAATGTTAAAGAATAACAGTGAATCTGTGAAACATCTCATAACGTGGATAAACCTAGAGGACATTATGCTGAGTGAAATTAGTCAATACAAAAAGACAAATATTATATGAGACAACTAAAATAAAAAGTCAAGAAAAAGTTTACTCACAGAAAGAAACATTCTTTGATGGATACCCAGGGATGGGACACGAAGGAAGGGCAAATCACTAACTAGAGGGTAGATACATACTAACTTGGGTGAAGGGAAAGGCAATATACAATAAGGGGGAGGTCAGCATAAAATTATCAAGGCAGTAGAAGACATGGGGGAGCACAAGAGTTAAAGACAACAAAGGTGAATACTATTACATGCACAATCCTGCAATAACAGTAATAACAATAATCTATGAGTGGATACATGGATAGACCGTCAAGCTGAATGGGGGTGAGAAGAATGGGACTACACCCATGAACATATATAGGTTTGACAGAGGCTATCTCTACTTATGTATTTATGTGTGTTGCAGATATATCTATGAATGTAGGAGAGCATACAGAGGACAAAATTATGAAAACTTCTTAGTTATAACCAAACACCTTGAGGGAATAAGTCACTAGGCATGGGGGCTTAGGACCATAGTCTTGGTAGACAGTAAGGTCAGTTGGCATAACATAGTCCACAAAGACAATGTTCTACATTCTACTTTGGTGAGTAGCAACTGGGGTCTTAAAAGCTTGTGAGCAGCCATCTAAGGGGCAACTATTTGTCTCTTCCTGTCTGGAGCTAAGGGGAGTGAAGAAAATCAAAGATGCAACAAAATAGTCCAAAGGACTATTGGATCATGTGAATCCCAACCTCCATGACCCTGAGACCAGAAGAACTAAGTGCTGGGCTACCACTGCTGACCACTCTGAAAGGGATCACAATAGGAGGTCCCAGATAGAGTGGGAGAAAAATGTGGAACAAAACTCAGAATCATATAAGAGACCAGGCTTACTGGTCTGATGAAGACTGGTGGAACCCTGAGACTGTGGCACTTAGACGTCCTTCAAGGTGAGAACGGAACCCAATCCCCGTGGCTCAACTTTCAGCCAAATGATAGGCCTATATGAACAGTAATACCAGGAAGGTATGCATTTACTAGAACCATCAACCATGTGAGATCAAAAGGGCAGCATTTTGGGGTAAAGTGAAGAGAGCAGGAAAGGATAGGAAAGAAGGATGAAGGGTGTTCATGTAAGCACAGGGAGGAAGTAGGAAGTGCTGTTTACATTGTAGGGAATGCAGTCAGTTCACAAAACAAAATGTGTGTGAATTGTTGAATGGATACTCAATTTACTCTGTACTTTCCACCCAGATCACAATCGAAAAAGGTTAATGAGTATCCATTGCAAATGTTTGCCCAAAAGGGTAATAAAGATAAAAGAAGAACTGAGTAGCATTGGTAGAACAATTCTGGGAGGACTTTTTTTTTTTTTTGAGAAGTAGATTATTTCATAAGTGAATCTTCTAACTCAAGATGACAGAGTCTTAACTTAGAAGATAGAGTAGTATTATCCATTGTATTATGAAAATTGAGTAGGTAAGGAAAATATTGTAGTTCCCTGCAATATTGAAAAAGTTTTCTTTACTCTAAGGCATGTGGCTGTCGAGAGCCCAAATTATTTCTCAGAATGAGATGATAATTGAATTCTGGAAAAAAGGCTTGGAATAGTAACTGAAGTTGATTACTTTTAGTGATTTTTGATTAAATACACCTGTAGGCATCCCAGGGCCTCCATGGAAGATGGGAATTACAGTTTATTTTATCAGTAGTTATAGGCACCATGTTCTTTAGTTTATGTTGGAGTTTTATTTTGACATGTATTTATAGGATAAAAATGTAAAGAAAAATATACTTAAGTAACTAAAATTCCTTTTTCATGTTTCTTTCTTGGTATACACCTCTCCCCCTTTAATTAGGTGGTGTGGAATGGATGCAAATCAAGGATAATGACTCCTCCAATAGACCCAACATGATCTGTAGTTTTCTCCATGAAAATGAAGATGAGGAAGTTGTAGCTCCGGCTCCAGATAAATCTTTGGAGTTGAGGGGGCAAGAGATTCAAATGAAAGATAATTCAGACCTGAGTTATGAACAGGGGAAACCATTACACTTGGACATAGAGGATTCTGGTCCTCTAATTGAGATCCCTTCTTTTGATACAGAAGGTTTTGTTTTTATGGAAACTCAAGATGCTACTTTAGAAGCCACTCCTAGATGAAAGGTTTCTCGTAATACCTAATCATGAATTTTTTTAGTTTTTGTATCCAATAATTGACTCTCTAGTTTCGAGTTGTTCTTCTGTTTTTTTTGTTGTTGTTGGCTATACACATGTCCAATTATAGCATAACTTTTTATAGCAGAGCCATTACAAGACCAGACATGAATTGAATTTAAAAAAAAAACTGGTCTAAATGATCATAGAGACTCTTCTCTGATAAGTTTATTTAAATTTGGAGGTTTTACTAAGGTAAGTGTATTTTCAATTACAGGCATCACAAATTACCATAAACTTGTGTTAGTTGCCATCAAGTCAGCCCCTGACCTGATGACACCATTCACAATGGGATCAGAGCTGACTCTTGGGAGGCCAGAGTCAAGACTCCATCTCCTGAAAACAAGCCTCATTTTGCCAGGCTGTCTTTCTTGCTCTATATCCTACAAAATTAAGTGAGCCTAGTGCTGCATTAGGAGCTCTGGTAGCATAGTGGCTAAAAGCACTTGACTGCTAACCAGAGGCTGGCGGTTCAAACCCACCAGCCACTCCTCGGAAGGAATGTTGGGCAATCCTACTTCTGTAGTGATACTGCCTCGGAAACCGAAGGAGGGGTCGCTATGAGTCGGGGCTGACTCGACGGCACATAACAACAACAACAACAAGTGCTGCATTGGGTCCAATAAAGCTTATTTGCTTCTGTGAGTGTGACTGTCACACCAAACTTGTGACTGCTGGTACTGTTTAGGCAGAGAGAGCATTGCAACTGCCTACCTCTGGCCTTCTTTTATGTGGGAAAGAAATAAACTGTTTTGTTTAAGTCACTCGGTTATAACCAAACTTAGTCCTAATTGATACATTAGGCATTTTAGAAAACATAAAAGATAGAAAAAAGCGTAACAGGTAGAATGGAAGTTTTCTTCCTTTTATTGTAATTTGAGTGACAGTTTATGAGTGGAAGATTCTTGAGATTTATAATCTTGCAAAAGAAATTGATGTAGACTATAATATAGTTCTTTTTTGGTAGAGGGTCAGCAAGAAAGGGGAAGGCCCTCAAAAGATGGCTTCACACAGTGGCTTCAGTGATGGGATCAAGCATAGCAAGGATTGTGAGGATGGCACAGGAATGGGCAGTGTTCATTCTGTTGTACATGGGGTCGCGCTGACTTGATGGCACCTACCAACAGTAACAACAATATAATGTAGTTCTGCCTTAGGTTGGAGGGGAAAATAAAGTCTTAAATTCTGTAGAGAACATGATACGTTTTAGCTCCCTTCCTATTAATAAGAAATGTTTGAAATTTAGTAAAATACAAATCTTGATTTTTCAAATATGTATTATTTTGTGAGTCTAAAATTTCATGTATGAATTTTTTCTGCCATTAATTAACTACCTTATTAACTTAACTGGAATTGCTTAAAAATATCTTAGAACCATTATTCCTGTGTAACTGTCATAATAAATGCTACTTTTGATACTGAATGCAATGGGTTACTTTTGCCTACAAATAATGATATTCTACCTAAAAGGATCATATGATTAAGGTGCATCATGAAGAATTATTTTTCATGGTCATTAAAGAAATGTGTGAAAATCTACTCATTTTTTCATTATATACTTCATAGCTGGTCATAACCAATTTCCTGACAGATAAAGTTAGTGTACTTTCAACCAGCCAGCGGAATCCCTATGAATCACAATGGTCCAGTCTGCAAGTGATCGTAGGGGTGGCACAGGACCAGGCAGTGTTTTGTCCTCCTATAACAGAAGGTTTTTCAGAATCTATTCTTTTTATCTCATTTGTTTCAACAGCTTATGTGAAGTTGATCAGAATTGCATAGTTTTAATCTTCTAGAAATATTTTCATTGATTCTGAAAATGAATTTGCCACCTCTTTTCTGTGATTTCCACTATTATTTCCTCATGAAATAAACAAATTCTGTTTATAATGTTACCTAGAGATACATTTTATATTAATAAAATACAGAATGATACCCTTTTGTTAATGACAACTTACAGTTTCTAGATATTTTACAAGTTTATCTGCATTTAATGTAACCATATTTGTGTATTATTAATGAGAATGTCAAAGTATCACAGGTCCTAGTTTCCTCAGATACAAAATAAGATACCTTTCACTATCATGTTTTAACAATACCTTACTTCCTACTCATACTTCATGCTTCTATTTGCTGTTAATTTCTTGTTGCTGTAACAGATTACCACGAATAATGACTTAAAACAACAAATTAGTTACAGTTTGGAGGTCAGAATTTAAAAAATTACTTGTATAGGGCTAAGATCTAAATGTCAGATTCCTTCTGGATGCCCCAAGGGAGAACCCATTTCCTTTCCTTTTCCAGCTTCTATAGGCCATGCTCATTCTTTGGCTTCCAGCCCCTTTCTCCATCTTCAAAGCTAGCATTGTACTACCTTCAAATACCACTCTTTCTGCTTCCACATCTGTGACTCTTATATTCCTGACTTCCTACAAGAACACTTGTGATTAGATTAGGCTCACTCAGAAAATCCAGGGTAATAACCCAATCACATCTGCAAACTCCGTTTTGTCATGTAATGGCAACATTCACAGGTTCTGAAGATTAAGTCATAGAAGTCTTTGTTTACCACTCTGTTCCTATTCTTTTTAATGCTTAAATTGCCCAGGGAAACCAATGAAGTGAGCTCTGTGGTTACTCCTAGTGTACTGCCTTGAGAGTTTCTGGGTTACTGTACAGGGAAGGGGAACACAGGTGGAGCCCAGCAGTCTCCCTGAGTTAAGATGGAACTGGGAGTTCAGAGACCAAGGAGGCTGGACTTTTCAGAAAGGAGAAAGGGGCAAAGAGAAACTCTGTAGATCTGCAGAACACTGACCTGTGTGTCACAAAACCACCGGAGGCAGGGAAAAGAGCCATCTGAGCAATCCCTGAAGTTCAGTTTCCAGCCAGAGTGTAAAACTTCCTAATTCATGGGGGACACAGTAGGATACTCAGAAGAGTTAAAGGCAAGATCTGAAAGGATCAAACTTTTCAAATATTCTTTAAATGCCCAGCATTCAACATGGTAACTTTCACAATGTCTGTCATTCAATAAAAAGTTAGCAGGCATGAACAGAAACAGGAAAATCCAATCTATAATGAAGAGAAAAGTCAATCACTAGAAATTGACCCAACTCTAAACTCAAGGGTAGGAGTAATCTTTGTATTGTTAGCTTCTGTCAAGTCAGTCATCACGCACAACATAATAAAACACTGCCTGGTCCTGTGCCATCCCTATGCTCACGTGAGATGGGACCGTTGTGATCCATCGGGAGTCTGCTGGCTCATTGAAAGTACATCATCAGGCCTTTCTTCCTAGCCCTAGTCTGGAAGCCCCATTGAAACCTGTTCAGAATCATATAGACATGCAAACCTCCACTGACAGGTGGGAGCTGTGCATTGGGTGCATTTGCCAGAAGTCAAACCCTGGTCTGCATGGAAGGCAAATTATACCCCTGAACTACCAATGCTCCCATTTATTACCACATAAAAGATCAGTTGCTGTTGAGTAGATCCCCTGTATCTGAGAAAACTGCCCTCCATGGAGTTTTCAATGGCTTATTTTGTGAAAGTAGATTGCCAGGCTTTATTAAGAGGTGCATCTGGATGGACTTGAAATTCCAGCCTTTTGGTTAGCAACCCAGCATGCTGACCATTTGCAACACCCAAAGAATCCTGTCACTACGTTTCATGTTGTTATTTGCTTTGAGGGGGCTCCAACTCATGGCAGCCTTTTGTATAACAGAATGAAATGTTGCCTGGTCCTGTGTCATCTTTATGCATGTGCTTAATACATAGTTGTTAAGCTTATAAGAGGAGTACTGGTGGCATAGTGCCTAAGGCACTTGACTACTAACCAGAAGGCTGATGGTTCAAACCC